CATTGGTACCCTCATGTCCCATTGACTTTCGAAAGTTCACCCACCGTAATTTGATCAAAATAGGTCGCAAGCTCGCCATTGCATATATAACGCATGTGTAACAAGTCGAACTTTGGACGCAATTTACCACGCGATTGTAAAATTATTGGTCAAGCACACGAAGTATAATATAACGAAGTATATATATCATAGATCAGTTCTGCTTGGTTCATTTTGTCCACTTCAGCCAACCCCCCCCCCCTCCCCCCCCCACCGTAATGTTTCCATTTAGTATAGTCAAACATTTTGCCGAGGTAAGCAAACACATGAATATTCATGACACACCACACTATTCGCTTATTAACAGAGGGGTGCAACTGTGCACCACATCAAACTCCCCTACTTTCAGTCAAGTATTTCTTTGAATTACGTAGTTTGGTAGGTTTAGTTTACTAACTGTTTAGTTATCAGATATCAATGATAGTTTAAAGATATGGAAAAGGTTTTTGCATTTTATATTTAGCAAAGCAATCTCACATACAAAATCACTATCAAGTGTCGTCTGATTCGCCGATTGCCGACTGCTATATACGTTCTATAGAAGGCGAACTAGCTACGTTTGTGCTGGCGAAAATTAGACAACCGGAGCAATATGAACCGCGGACCTTGTGATCCACAGTCCGGTGACATATCCACTCGTCCACGACACCTCTACTATGCAACTGACCGAGTTTGACAAAACTGAATAGCCATGCATGTATAACAGCATAGGCTCTAAAAGATCTTCCTAGGTAATAACAAGAATCAAAATATGGAAAATTGTGATCTATGCCACAATTAATATAATAATAGCATGTAACAGACAGACGTATGCCTTCAGGATATAATCACGATGTATGGATCGAGATATAAAAAGGCCAAAAACACTAAACGCGCTAACCATGACAGCTCGAAACATAAATATAGTTTTTAAAAATAAGAAGATACTGTTAATCGAATGACCAAAACAAGATTTTATGGTATCCATATAATATTTTGTAAAACACAGCTGATTATATAAATTCTATTCCACATTTTATACAGGTATGAGAAGTTGGACAAATTTCAAATGTTATCAAACGTTTGTGTATATTGTGTACCTGTTTACTTGTCGTGTTCTTGTTGTCATTTAATTTTACCCATGGCGTTTGACCTTTGATCTTATTATTCAATATTCTGGTAATTTTTGTTGTTGTTTTTTTTAGTTTAGATGACAATAGGTTATCAATGAGGATTATTACAAGTGAAATCTCCAAGGATAATAACATTTTGAGTAGATTGTAAAGGTTGTTCAAATTAGAATTCTACTTTTATAGAATAGAAGTCAGTGTAATAATAATGTGTTCGATGTACAAAAGCAATTAAATGAAAATGTAGATGTTTAAATCTTACTTAAAACCATAACATTTCCAGGTTCTCATGGTCTAAATCATGTTTACGGGGGTAGATCCAATTAAAATTAAAGGTAATACAGCAAGCAACAACACATACATGATGTATTTTTATCTTTCCTTTCTAGATTGTTACTAATTGAATAGAATCATAGCTTGAATCACATTTCCAAACTTCTTGCAATTTAAGTATATCAAGTGGATCATTTAAAAAAAAGAATATCTACAGAATCATGTGAGTTAAAAGGCCATTCTTTGAATAAACGGGTGTTATATATTTCTCTACCACTGATCCCACTACTAGCATCTCGATCCGCAGTATGGAGGTTGCTATGACGGATTGCTAGTGTTGCGTCGATGAAACAAATGATCTGATTGGCTGTGGCTTGTGAAATACCGTTTCGTGCAATGTTTAGAGCGCTGTGATTAAATAATTTTCTCGAGTTTATTGGTAAAAATATTTAGGGTTTTTCTTTTTTTTAATAATGCGCGAGTTTTGCGCTTGAAGACTTTCAGGAATGTACTTTTAGACAATATCATGTAAAAAAGAAAAAAAATGTAGTTCCTTAATAGATGGGTCACGAAAGTAAACAATTTAGGCAAGTAAATACTTTTCGCCAATCGCAGACTCATCTTGCCGATCTAGGACGCACATCTCGCCAGTAAAATACGTCAAAGTTTGTCTGCTAAACGTGATTTTACGGAGACACTTGTCGCCACGACACCGGCGTTCCACTAACTGAGCTGTTTGGCCGTTTAATGTTTGCTGTCTACGTAGTTTTTTTCAAAATCTTTGTTAGGGGCTGCCAGCCAGAAGCCATACAACCTTTAACCACCATGTAACCAGGGATCACACCCACGATACAACCTGGGAAGTTGATTTTCTTCACCATTTGATTGAGTTCACGCCCCCTGCCCCCGTACCCACTTCTTCTACGCCTTACGAGATACACAACATATTACGGTCATAATAAAATGTGTCATATCTGATGAACTGGAAAACAAAATACGTTGAGTTCATCCGTCGTTTTAATCTCAAATCGCACATGAAATTGAAATTCAGACAATAGAGTAATTTGTACTAGTCGACTCTACATAGCCGGTGACTGAGAACAAAATATTTGTCACATCGACTCTTCCTGGTTCAAATAGAACGCATGCTTCCCATTTCATACGCTCCCTAAATAATGCGGTCAAGCAATTACAATCGTAGGTGATTCATTATGAACGCATGCATTATAACCACTGAACGAACACAAAAGAATCCGGGTACACATTTTTTTTCTTCAATTTCTGTTATGTTTATATTTCATTAATGAATGAAACCACATAAATTATTGTTATTGGAACCTGTTTGGGCCTATTCTATTTTACGAAACGGCTCGTTTATACTTCAATTGGGACTTGTTATATTGTATTCAATCATTTTGGATGGGGACATTTCAACTTCCTCTAATATGATATCTGTTCATACCATACCATGTAAACAATAATTGTCTTAACATCAGGACCAACATCCCAACATAACAAAGATAACATATTCCATACGTCAGATTGGGTAAATTGAATTGAATTGGATTGATAATGGTTGTATTGAGAATAAAAGAATAGCAATGCATCGCGGCCTAAACGGCCAATTGGGCAATGTTTTACTAATGTAAAATACAATATATAAAAACATTCATATAAAAACATCAAAACTGAACGTGAATGAGTAAATTGTATAAACAAATAGTTCACTTTAAAAATTCTTATTTCTTATTTGATCTCCCTAACTCATTTTATATAAAATGGAGAAAAAGAAAAGTGAAAGAATGAAAGAATAAAAGAATAGCAATGCATCGCGGCCTAAACGGCCAATTGGGCAATGTTTTACTGATGTAAAATACAATATATAAAAACATTCATATAAAAACATCAAAACTGAACGTGAATGAGTAAATTGTATAAACAAATAGTTCACTTTAAAAATTCTTATTTCTTATTTGATCTCCCTAACTCATTTTATATAAAATGGAGAAAAAGAAAAGTGAAGAAGAACATGATAATGGTGAAGAGTAAAGAAAGAAAAGAAAAGAGGATATTAAGATGGTAAGATTAAAAAGAAGGTGAAGAGGAAGAAGAAGAGGAAAAAGTATAAGAGAAGGAGGAAGAAGAAGAAGAAGACAGTGAGAGGATAAACAGAGGGTAGTGCGAATAGTAACACTATCATAAGGTATCGATATAAATATCCAAGCATTACACATTATACAAACTACAAACGATAGAGGCGAAGTTTATATAGAAAACACGTATGACTAATTGTATGAATTAATAATAGCTACTCTAAGTAAAAGGTTATAATGTTTTATCCAGATTATAAAAAGGGGAATTATAAGAAGAAGAAGCAGACGAAGAAAGGGGATAATTTCAGTCATTTAAACAGTTACAAATGAATGGTTATCATAGATTTTTAACTTCGATACAGAAGATGTGGTGTATTTATTATAAGGATACAAAGATTAGACCCAAGTATAAATATAAAAGAGGTATATATATATATATAATATAATCTACATAAAAACTTTTAAAAGATTTCATTAAATTGTGTGTATCAGTAATTGAAACTATAGTTTGCATTCAAGTATTGCACTTTTTTTATTACATCATTACTATAATATTGGTGGTATGAAACATCTTTTTTAGTGTTAACTAGAATCGTGGATGCGTTTAAGTGGTGGTGTGTGGCTTTTGGTTCACTCTGTTTGTTCGGCAACGTATTTCGGGTAATTTCTTAGTATGTCTAAGAACTCTTTTCTGAGTAATCTGGGATAAGATGTTCTTTAATTAGTTACTGGAAATACATTTTCCAATGTAAGATGTGCACAGCGAATGTCTCATTTGCTCAAGTGTTTACATTTCAAAGCAGGTATTAAAGAGCGTTCTTATAAGTTGTATACTGAGCACCAACGATGATGTGGAGGGTTCGCTTTTGGAATTTTTCTAATCTTTCGCATTGTTTTTTGGTGATGCCGCTATTCCAAACCGGTGTTGCATATTCAAGAATGGGCCGAACATATTCATCATAATAGTTAACAAATTGCGATCTGGAAGGCAGTGCCTTGCAAGATACGTAGTATGTGAAGTTTTCCATTTGCTCTTTTGATGATAAAATATGTTACATTTGATTCCAATTTCCGGTCACTTTTGATCAGAATGCCATGAAGCTTTATTAAAATACACTTTCTCTTTTATTATTGAATTGTATAAACCAAAATGATGGTATTTAACATCGGTCAGTACGTTATGGTTATACCAGTCCACAGAAATAATCTATCCATCAATACCTGTCTAATGAGGCCATCCCAACACAGAACTTGGCCTTTAAAGACAGTTTGCCTTTCTAGACAGCTTACACAATATTTCTTTAAATGTATATATATATATGTATATAATTTTAATGGTTATGATTCAAATTTCATGAATACAAAATCCAATATAACAGGTGAAACATCGGCTGTGCTAGTACTGACCCACAGCAGCTAACACGAAGTTTTCTGTGTCAGAATCCACTTTGTGTACTTCATCCTCAAAGTCTGTATCCATCTCCATGGTTCTGTTTCATTCTGCCTTTGGGATGTCCTCACCAGGTCCGAGAACTTTAACACAGAGAGCAACAAAGTTTGGGAGCAGTTTAGAAAAGAATATCACATATGCAATATTCCTCATCAGTCTTGGTTTATTTATTTGGATGGTTCATTGAATTTAATAAATCTTGCTTTGGTCTAAATTACTTAATATGAGGTTGTAGAAGCCACAAACAGATATTTTTTACAAAAATATATTCTAATGAAATCAACAAAATATGTTGAAGTTGTCGTAACACATACATCATGATTCAACAAACTTAGAAAGTGCAGTCAAAGTTAATGCATACATTGCAAATCCTAAGCTAATTTCTCTAAGCTGCACTGTACACTAACCAAAGGTAATTAAAATAGACATCCCCTGCAAAAAAAAATAATAGAAGGACACTTTTTAAATATCACTCAATAGTTTGCATTCAGGAGGTGTAAACTTGTAACTTACCTAAAAACCAGTGACCTGTTGTCCATGGGTTTGGGATCCCTTGGCTCTCAATTTGTTGAGCAATTATTTGTGAACCATTGTTCTGATAGCAGTCAGTTTGTGGGCTGTCAGCAAACTGTGGGCTATCCTTTTGTAGAACTGGGGCCATTTGAATCACTGGAAATAAAAAAAAATGATATCATTCATTTATTTCATTTCATTGGGAGCATAAAAATACAACAGAGGAATTTTGAAATGAGACAAGAAAATATCATGGAATACTATATACAGATAAATACATGTATGCTGGAGTAGGTACATGTTTATAGCAGCCAAAAACAAAACAAAACAACAACTTCATATCAGGCTTACCCAGAATCCAAATACATGTATAATAAATTGTGAACAAAAACTGAAAGGTAGTTATACAACAATTAATAATTTGATAATCCATATTCCCCTTGCAAGCAGATTCAACGTGAATGTCAACAGAGAATTTAAAGAAAGATACATCTGGTAATTCTTGAGACTTATTTTTACCTAGCCACTTGCTAAGTTCTTATCACAATATTCTAATCACTTGTGAATGTTGTTTGATCACAATTCATAGTTTCAGAATAAAATCCAGACACAGTCAAACCTGCTTTAGTGACCACCTGTCTACAAAGACCACCTGTCTACAAGGACCACAATTTTTGTTTCCCTTGAAAATGGTTTCTCATTGAAACATGTACTAAAGGAACCTGTCTACAAAGACCACCTGTCTACGAGGACTACTTTTTGTTTTCCCTTGGGCGGTCGCTGTCCCGCCCCCCCCCCCCCACTCAGTGTAATTTAGGGTACGCAAATGCGTGTTCCAACCGACCCCCCCCCCCCTTTCAGCAAAAGTCCGGTGTGTAAAGTCAATACGGCTCCATATGGAAACGTTGTATCATCCGCTCAATCAGACTTGCGTGCATAAAATAAATAAGCATTTTTCCATGAAAAAGTGAAGTTTTCTAAAATGTGCGTTTCTTTCCAGCATTGGGGCGCCCGGAAGTCACTCGGGTAACATTTCATAAAGTATAATATAAAAAGACCATATGCAAATTTTCTGTACTTTTGTCGGAAAAAATACATTTATCCAGCACAATGTCGTCTCTTTTTGCGTTGGAGAAGAGCAAATAGCGAGTTTCAATCACACTTTGGCCGCTCTCGCAAGCTCTCACTCGTTTTACTGTGGTCAAGCGACTTTGGGGCAAGCGGTTAATAAAAATACTAATCGTTAGCTTTCTTCTGGTATTAAACTTGTTTTGATTGATTGTATAATTTTGTCGGAATAAAGGAAACAAAAAGGCTCGACCAATAACTTATCAGTGTCTGAATTGACCTTTTGACCTTGAATTCCCTGATGCAAGCGCACTAATAACGCCATCTTCGCTAAATCGGCGTCTTTTATCGTAAAATGCGACACTTTCACAATGTTAATACATCTTTTTTTAACTATTAGTAAGATTTAAAATATTTTTTTCTGATATCACTGAAGTTTGGGGTTTATTTAATGAGAAATTTTAAAATAAGAGCAATTTTACTGTTTTAATTTACTGGATCGTACCATTAAAGTCGCAGGGTAGAAAGATGCATTTTCCAACAGCGTCAAATTTAATTTACGTTCCGATATTCTGTTAAATGGGTTAGTGTTGTTAAAAATCCACTGCTTTCTGCTCCAACAAACGTCCACATGCGTCGTTTATCAACTAAATTATTCAAATTTATGGATGCTTCCTAGCTTACCCGGTGTTTGTGTTGCTGTTGAAGCATTTATTCACCTGCTATATCATTCTTTGTACTCCAATTGCCAGAACACAAATTTCATTTTGGTTTTATAGTTTCATGCAATAAGTAAGTCAATAAAAGAGTATGTTCTGCACAATAAAAAGAATGTGTGTCCCTATTGTACAATGTAATGTGTCCCCTCATTTTGTAATAGTTAATTTACCCATTCACATAATGGAACTACCTGCCCGATGAAGCCAGTGGCCTGTGACCCCTTAACACTCGACACCGTGTGGGAGTCAGTTTGTGATCAACTTCTTTTATGAGACAAATACAAGCAAACGTTTCCATATGACCTTTTTCTTTTGTATACGAGCCTTTTTCAGCACCCCCCCCCCCTTTTTCAGCAAAAGTCCGGTGTGTAAAGTCAATACGGGTCGACCTTTTTCTTTTGTTACGAAAAGGACATTTTGGCAACACGCATGGGGTCCGTCCGTTCTCGAAGTGGGGGGGGGGGGCGGGGTCGCTGTAGACAGGTTAAACTGTATTCACAAACATGTACATATAAATATATGCTTGAAATATACTAGTTGGTGTAATGAATATTACCCAAAACTATAACTTTTCTTTAACTGGAATGAAAATTGCATGATTCATTTTTCAAACACTTACCATTCTTTAGGACAATGATATCTGTCATAAAATTATACTGCAAGGTGGTAATTTCATTTATTTTCAGGTATGTACATGTATGTCAAACTTCAAAACTAATTATAATAATCAGTATTATACACGTATCTAGTTACATTAACATAGGCTAAATGTATATCTTTGTTAGCTACAAAAAAAAATAGAATGTGGAATAACTAACCACCAATCTGTGAGCTTTAAGTTGGCTGGTCTTCAATCAAAAGGGGTCAATGTATGGGACATTACATCCTTGCTGGAACTCTGATGGGCATTTCATCTCTGTTAGGAGCATTTTTAGGCTGTCAATCCTTGGGCAGTCAAACTTAGTATCATCGGTCATTGGGCGTGAACGTATCTGAATCACTGCAAAGCAATACATATGATATTTGCATTTGATTATTCAGAATGAAACAAAAATAATGAGATAAATTAATGGACTGCATTGGAAGCATTCTACACCATAAACATTTTCTAATGTTCGCTTAAATATCACTATACCCAGAAACAAATAAACTAAAGTTACTAAGGGACCGCAATTGTGTTCCCCAAATCTCTGGTAAAGAAAAATAGTGAATTGCATTAATTCATCCCAGTGTAAGGATTGTAGCCTCTCAACATAATCCCAAATTTTAAAAAGCATATCAACTAATCTATTTCACACACTACTAGTACCCAACTGCAAACTATGAAATGTACTCAGTTTTGTTAACAGTCTTTATAGAAAGTAATTTGGATGATGTGCATTAACGAGAAGAAAGTATCTGAATAAAAAAATGTATTACTAACCACGCTCAGCTAATGGGATGTCTCCCATATCCATGGTGTGTACAAGTCCAGGTTCTGACACTGTCAACATTTTCCCCGCAACCACCTGCTGCCCTATTTTATTTTCACCGAAGTGCCTCTCCTTGGTACCGAATTCTTTCTCCTTTTGATATCAGTCAAGTTAGTAGATTTGTCCCTGTTCTACAGGACAAGGCTATCCTGGATAAACTCCATCTAATGATTTAATAAAGGTATTTATAATAGCAATAGTTTATAAAGAAAATAAAACCTGATATTTGATAATCGTATCTCTAACACTGGCAAACCTACCAAGTGCTAGACCTGACCTGGAGAAGGCATGTGGTTCTACATGTACAATAATTTTAGTGCACTAAAGTTTAGACCCAGTGAGACTGTTGAATTATATTGTTTCAAGTCATTTCTTTTACTCTGCACTAATTTATCGTGACCACTATGAGAGACAACACATCACAATATCCTTGTTTAGTTGCTGAAAGTGAAACAGTTTTCGATGAGTACGAGCATAGATGTACGATAGACTTTATTACAGAAGATCTGCACTTTGACAAAATATGGTCATACCTAAAACCACGTATATTTATAATAAGGATGCAAAGAAAAGACTAACATATAAATATATGACCAAATTATGCAGGTCTCAAGTGAATTTGAAACTTAAGTAAAGGTAAATGTGATGGTGATCTTTGGTAGATGTTGATGCAGTGTACTCACTACTCACTAGACTAGTCACTAGTGCCAGTGGTATATTTCTACAGCAACAGATACAGAACCCATCTCTGAAATCATGCCAGGTTTGCCACATCACATTACTTTAAGTTCTTAACATTTAGCCCACAGGTTAGTAGGAAATAAATTGGGTCTTTTGTTACTACGATAACCCCAGAATCTAATCTAAGGGGTCCCGTTCATTGAGCGAAACACTTTAAAATTGTTTGCACGCACGTGCTTTAATACACTGGTACACTAACATACCCGCTACATGTGTGACTGGGTTTACGAAAGAGGAAATAATCATAGGGTAATCACCAATTTAGGAGAGGTTTATTTACAATTTTATAGATAACTCAATCACGACGTGCATACATTTTCATTGAATCGAGAACAAAATAAACCTCAACTCACCAGTTCCACGCAGACTCGAAGTTTAAGCATCAAATTTTGGTGAATCCTATTCTGCTAGCAGACTAGTTATAGCTAGGCGTGCCGGTTCGTAAAATCAACAAATTCCTTTTCGCGCGTTAACTCGAGCTTTACGAACTGGCATACAAAGCGCACACATTTTATAAAATCGAATAACTTTTTAATTAAAGCGTTTTATGACCTAAAATTTTGCAGAAATGTTGATCATGGTAATTCCATTCAGAATATGTAAAAATATTAAAATCGAAAATTGACACGAAAAACGCTTCGTATGCCGGTTCGTAAAATCAGCGACGATATATGTATCTAGCAATTATAGCCTTTGGACTCATTTTTTTGGAATCACTTTCTTCTTTTTATGATAAATGTCGTAATGTTCGCTAAAAATATTTCGAATTGTATCATTATTTTGTCACTCAACATAAACAAAATATCTGATCACATCAACATACCAGTGGCACGGGTCGGTCCTTGGAAGCAGGCGTCACAGCTACAGATGAAGTTGAGACAGTTGCTTGGATCTTGTTGACATGTTCCTCCATTCACACAAGGGTTGTTTGCGCATGGATCAATCGCTGATAGAAAATGAATACATTTAATAAACCAAATAATAGCTCACATTGACAATATACTATACCATAGGAATGATGTGAGAATGATATCATGGCTTGTGAGAATGATATCATGGCTTGTTTGGACAATGTTACCCCTCGCAATGTCTGTCATGATTGGGTCGGGAGGGGTCAAAAATGAGAAACAAAACGAGGTTGTGCTGCTGCAGTTATATAATTGACTTTCATATTATTCATTGAATGGTCTTTAGTAATGTTTAGTAGATATAAGTGTTTCGGGTTTTCTTTCTTTAAAAAAAACACACTGGTGTTGTAGTCGATATCAGGAGAAATACTGATCTTGAGTTATCCTAGGCACAAAAAAGTGGGGAGAAATAAATAAAAACTAGAATTTAATTCGTCACGAAGACGAATAAGGTGGTCTGTCTAAGTCTTATGATAGATTTGAGAATGGGAGAAGTTATGTAGACATGTAAACAATGATGATCGTGATGAACATGGTGATGATCATGATAGTAAAGGTGATGATGATGATGATAATGATAATGTTATATATTGATAAAAACGATGTTAATGATGATGATGATAATAATCATGATCATGATGATGTTGATGATGATCATCTTCAGACCATGATGATGATGATGATGATGATGGTGACATTGATGATGATGATGATGATGATGATATTGATGATGATGATGATGATGAGCATGAGCATGATCCTGATATCTGATTGAAAAAATGAGAAATATTTAGATACCATATAGTCTCAGCTACAACATATACTAAGATTTGGGAGAAAACTGTTGAATAACAACCGAGATACTGGTCAAAACACATTGTCATGCAGATTCATGTTTTGAAAAAAGTGACCTCCCTTAGACATAACACGCAAATATGACAAATTATGCATTGTCGCCTTTAATCGAATATTTAACTATGATGACGTCATCTAAATAAAAAAATAAGTGCCATAGTTCTAGAAGAGAATTATCTTAGCTACAACATATGAAAATGTGGGAGAAAATCGATCACCGATAAGTGAGATAATCTCAATTAAACAAAGAAAAAAATGACGTCATCAACAAAACACATTTGTTTGAGTTTAGATGCCAATATGATGACTTTATTTCACTTTGTACGAGTCAGGGTGGTATGAAATCATATCTCCAACTCATGCTTTCTCAAACCATGATATAAAAATTGGGGGTCAATGGACTATCTGAAGAGCTACTTCGATTTTTAAAATAGCATGTTTTTGATCAAATTTGCATTATATTGCCCATAGCAGTACGCGCGGATTTTGAACTTTGACGCACGCTCACGGCCTTATGAAATATGAAGAGTGACTGAAATTAATGTAAATTGTCAATTACGTTAAGAGGAATCCAAATCATGTAAACATTTTTAATTTGACCTTTTCCGCGCGCTGTGAGCGCGCACAACGCGCGCGGGGACACGTACGGACGAAACATTTTGAAATGCTTAAAATGACCTGATTCGTACTCTCGTTTAACAGTTAAGTGATTTTTGAGCATTTTTACATTTTGTCGAACGCGTACGCGCGTGTCATGACCTTTATTTGACCTTTGATGACATGACCTGTTGACCCTTAACCTGAAGTATATGTGATATAAATATGAATGAACTTTGAGTACGCATCATGAAGATATGATGGATAATGTGATTTCACAAAATGGCGCCTGGATGACGTCACGAAAATGTTCCTGTCACGTCTCATGATGATTACCTATGACTGTGTCAACATTGAGAGAAATTGGGTGGATGGATATTGAGAAATCGGTTGCACATAAAAGTGGAGAAATAAATAAAAATAAATAATAAACTAGAAATTTAATTCGTCATGGGGACGAATTAGGTGGTCTGTCTTCACTTCTTATGATATATTTGAGAATGGGAGAAATTATGTCGACATGTAAACAATGATGATCATGATAGTAATGGTGATGATGATGATAATGATAATGTTAGATGATCCTTTAATCGCAAAATTACGCCATGATGCCTTTCTCAAAATGAGAAATCGTGAAACTGTACTCGTAGAAAATTGTCTCAGTTAGAACATATCCAAATTTAAAGGAAAATTGATCAATATTTACAGAGATACAATCAATTTTCTAAAAATATGCTGACGTCATAATAAGCAAATAGAAATTTTGAGTTCAAAGTCTATTATGATGACGTCATGAGTTCATTTAGGGTCAAATGAGACATGAAATCATATCTACCATTCATACTCTATCCAAATATGAAAATAAAATTAGGGGTCAACGGGCATCTTAAAGAGCTACAACGGATTTTGTATAGGTATGTTTTTGCCCATATATGCTATGTATTACAAAAGTTAACACGCAAGTACATTTATCTTTAATAAACGGATGCTCATTCCGTTATCAATGTTCACAAAAAGGTGAAAAAGGTATCAAAATGCTGGGAAAATGTGCCAAATATGATGACCGGGAAAATTCGGCGATTCTATGTTGCAAAAAGCCGTGACGCGCGAAAACGCGCGCATGCGCGTGTGCGCGTTTTTTTTTTGCGAAATGCTTAAAATGACCTGATTCGTACTCTCGTTTAATATTTAAGTGATTTTGAACATTTTTAAAATTTGACGCGCGCGTACGCGCGTGTCATGACCTTTATTTGACCTTTGATGACATGACCTGTTGACCCTTGACCTGAAGTTTATGTGATATGAATATGAATGACCTTTGATGACGCGTCATGAAGATATGATGGATAATGTGATTTCACAAAATGGCGCCTGGATGACGTCATGAAGACTTGATGACCTTGAAAATGTTACTGTCACGTCTCATGACAATTACCTATGACTGTGCCAAAATTAAACGAAATTGACTGAACTGATCTTGAGTTATCCTAGGCACAAAAAAGTGGGGAGAAATAAATAAAAATAAATAAAGAAAGAAAGAAAATCCTGACGAAACTAATAGGTGATCTGTCGATGACAGACCACCTAATAAATAAAGAAAGAAAGAAAAATCCTTTCGAAACTAATAGGTGATCTGTCGATGACAGACCACCTAATTAGATCTCGTTTTACTGAATATGTCTAGCCATTCTTTGTGAAGAAACATATAACATCTTAGTCAAAGTAAAATAGATTACTTTCAAATGGATAGGGCTTATATCGAGTTAATTACTTTCTTGAAGCAATGTTTTGTTTTTTTATCGAAATACTGAAAATGTCCTTCAAAATGGAAAGAAAACAGGATGATAAGTACTTACATGAACTGCAGGAAGGTCCAGTGAAACAACCCGTACACATACATAATGTAGACGTACAATAAGGTGACATCAAAC